CCTCAAGCTAAGGTTTGACCAAACACTTACCTCGATGCCTCGAGCACAATTCACGATTCAACTATAGCTTTACCCCTTGATTCCACCACCAATTCGCTCGTATCTAGTCACAAGTTACTTAATTACATCAATAAACGCTAAATGAATCGACCCCAATGCATGAAAATGAGTTTTCCAAAGTTTTACCCAAAAAGTCAAAAATCGCCCCCGGGCCCACATGGTCAAAACCCGAGGTTCGAACCAAAATCCGACCACCTATTCCCCCACGAACTCAAATATATAATTATTTTTTTTAAATCGGACCTCAAATCGAGGTCCAAATCCCCAATTTTCGAAAAACCTAGGTTCTACCAGAACACCCAATTTTCCCCATGAAAATCATTGATTTGAAGTTGAAATCATGTTAAAAGATGTTAAGAATTGAAGGAAGTTAGCTAAAATTGACTTACAATTGATTTGGAGAAGAAGAAATCCTTGAAAAATCGCCTAAGTGTGTTTATGTTTTGAGAGAATAAGAAAATGGGTTGAAAATTCGGCTAAGTATAAAAGTTGCAGGTCTCAGATGTGGGAATTGCGAACAGGGGTTCGCAACGACCTCTGCTAGCTTGGGAATTGCGAACATGGGTTTGGGAATTGCGAACATGGGTTTGGGAATTGCGAGGCCTGGGAATTGCGAACATGGGTTTGGGAATTGCGAAGCCTGGGAATTGCGAAGGGAGGTTGGGAAATGCGAAGCCTTCAGGCCTGCAATTCCTTAAGTCCAAAATTTCACCCCGTGGCCTATCCAAAACTCACCCGAGCCCTCGGGGCTCCAAACCAAATATACACACCACCTCAAAAATATCCTACGGACTTATTCATATACTCAAATCACCAAAATAACATCATGAACATCGAATTAAACCTCAAGGTCAATGAAGTTTCTCAAAACTTCTTTAAACATCAAATTTGCATTTAAGATCCGAATCACGTCAAACGGATTCCGTTTCTTACCAAACTTCACTGAATTATCTTAAATCATATATAAGACCTGTACCGGGCGCCGGAACCAAAATACGGGCCCGATACCAACATGTTCTAATCAAAATTCATTTCCAAATCCTTTAAACAATTTCAGAAAACAATTTTCTTTAAAAATTCATTTCTCGGGCTTGGACCTCGAAATTCGATTCCGGGCGTCCCAAGTCCCATATTTTCCTACGGACCCTCCAGGACCGTCAAATCACGGGTCCGGGTCCGTTTACCCAAAATGTTGACCGAAGTCAAATTAATTCATTTTATAGTCAAAATTTATCATTTTTTACAGATTTTCACATATAGGCTTTTCGGCTACGCGCCCGGACTGTGCAGGCAAATCGAAGTGATGCTAAGAGAGGTTTTTAAGGCCTCGGAACGTAGAATTTCATTTTAAAATAAGTTATGACCTTTTGGGTCATCACACCTCATTTGACAACAAATACTACAGAAAAATTTTTGGACTTAATTACGAATTTCGTCATTAATCCGTTGCTAAATTGCTTGCCGTTAAGTTTTATACCCCTAGTGTATGTGCTTTTCATGCGCATGTCCTCGTCAATAAGTAAAAGATGTAGTATACAAGAAGAATAAATTGTTGTAAGTATTATTTGATAAACTTTATCATTGGCGACTTTATGCTAAAAACTCCTATTATTAATTATTTGTTGATATTGTTTCGTATCTCTTTAATTAAAGTACTTTTGAATCATGACACTAAATGATATATTTATTTAGACTTATATTTTCAGCACACTTCTTACCAAAATAGCCTATATATTTTTGTATAAGATTATACTAATTTAATGTCTAAGAAAATAACAAATGACTATTTTGTCGTTGTGGAATCTTTTAGTGAATCGAAAAAGTTCAACCTAACATTTCTAAGAACCTTATCAGTTTTACTTTTTATATTATTTATTTGTGCATTGAATTTATAATATGTATTATGTAAAAAAATATAAAATAAATTAATTAGATCGGTTTTATTTCTAAAACTTTTGTAAACGATGTATTAAACTTTATCACTGGCGACTTTATAGTAAAAACTCCTCTTATTAATTATTCGCATGATATTGTTTCGTATCTTCTTAATTAAAGATACTTCGAATCGTGACACTAAATGACATATTTATTTAGACTTCTATTTTCAGCATATTCTTACCAAAATAGCCTATACATGTTTTGTATAAGATTATACTTATCTAATATTTAAGAAAATAGCAAATGACTTTTTCGTCGACTATGAAATTTTTTAGTGAATAATAAAATATTAAATCAACATTTCTAAGGACCTTATCATTTTTATTTTTTATATTATTTATTTGTGCATTGAATTTATAATATGTATCCTGCAAAAAATATAAAATAAATAAATTATTGGTTATATTTCTAAAACTTTTGTAAACGAATTTTACGTAAGTCTTTTCTAAACATAATTTGCTAATTTGTTTTCTTGTAATTACAGTTAGTGAAGGACTCCTTCCTATTATTATGAGACAAAAATAGATTCATGTTTCTTTATAGTTGCTAGAATAAGTTACTTCTAACCCATATTTTTAGGAGATTCCCGTATGCAATTTAGTTCCACTTGAGAAAACAAATAAGCAATCCAAAGTTCAGAACAACTCTTGTAAATAAACAAATAAAATTCTATCCTTTAATTTAATATGCTTCAGAGTATTAATGATGCATTGTTACCATGTGAGATTAAATTTCTTCCTAAATGGTAGTGTTTCTTTTATAAGGTAAAATATTAAAAAATATTTTGGAAAGAATAGTAAATAACAATTTTGTCTATAAAGCGTCACTCCAAACAATATAAGAGAATAAATTATTTGAGATAGTCAAACAAAATATTTCAGGACCCTTTCTGTAAATTAAATATAACAATTCTAAGTTGCAAATTAGCACGTATTACGTTAAATTTTTAATTGTTTAGAGTTCCGCTATTTATGTTTCACAACCTATAAATTTTTTGCAGTTTTAATGTTGTTGCTATCTCAAAAATATATAGAGGAACACACATGCACAAACAGACATATATTACAAATAGCGAAAGAAGCATCGACTTTAGATAGTTTTAGCATGTCGAATAACCCATGGAAGTCGCCAAATATTGGATTAATGAACTTGACAATTACTGTGTAAGAAATTATAATCCTATACGAGAAGAAAAAACTGAATTTTAGGAAAAAGAATAAATTTACTTTGTAGAAGGGCTAGAAGAAGCAAATTGCACTATTATTATTATTATAATAAAAGAGAAACCGCATCATAATTAAGCAAAAAAATCTCAGCACTTTAAATGAACATAAAAGCATACCTGGTCGGCTGACACTATAGATTGCAATAAAATCATGGAGAGCATAAGCAAGAACTTTAGCTAAGAGTTTATGCGGAGTTCTAAATTAAAAGTCAAAATTATTGTTAGATATTAATTCATAAAAATATACTACAAAGAATAAAGCAAAAATAAAAAGCTAAACCTAAATCAAATCAAAACAAACTATGAAACAAATTGGACAACTATACGTTTTCAATTCTCCAAATTTACTTGGAGATATACTTATATAGTGACTTCTTCAAGTCTCCATATTATGAAAGAAATCAAAGGGAATAAGGACTTTCTTTTAATAAATTTGTGCGTAATTATAAGAGAAATATTATAAAAATAATCAGGCAATCATTTGAGGAAAATAGTAAATGACAATTTTGTCTATTGTGGTGTCTTTTAATGAAGGGTAAAAAGTTCAATCAACATTTCGCTAAAGGCCTTCGTACTTTTAATATATTACCAGTCTCTATGTTCGTGTCTCCCACAAAATATTTTATATCAAGTATTATAAAACGCGTAACAAAATTATAAACTTTCACTTACCTAAAAATTCTAATTAACCTTGCTACTTATTACTGAAAATGTATAAAGTTCAATATTCAGTTCCTTAAAAAAAGATGTTATATAATTCGGACAACTCATTAATAAATTTTGACAACAATATTATGGAATTAAACATTATGAGAGTTAGGTTAAAAGTAGTAAAATCACTTTAAAATCTAAATTATAAAGATATTATTTTGCTTCAATTTTGTAACTACTCCTAATAAATTTAATTTCAGTATTTTTGAAAATATCTAACTGTATAAAATTGATTTAACTTCCACTGAATTGGAATGTATGTACTCTACATTTACCTAAAGGAAAGTTTAGTATATATAATCTTGGGTTTCTAATTTCACATAAGTAATTAAAGGATAGTTTTTAGTTGAATTTGAAGTTGTAAATATTGGATAGACTTTTTATAAAACAATAATCTTATCCAACATGGAATTGTCTTTAGAGGGAACTTAGCTTTGAAAAGACATAAAAATCGATCAACGTGATATATTGTTTTATGAAAATTTTTAATTTAATAAATTTTATTATAATTTCAACATTTAATAAATACCTATTGAACATACAAGTATAAAGCATATGAGTAAGTATAAGCTTTTTCATACAAATTGGATAACCAAAAATCAAGCGTCCAACATGCATATTGCTATCCATAAAGAATAATGATACTATCTTTTGAACCATGTGCATATTGGCGTTGAGTGCAATAGCAGTCCAAAACGAATTAGAATTTTACATCTATGTGTAGTTTAAATCGAATAAGAAGTTTGTCTGTGGATAATATTTTGAAATTTACAATTACATCCATTTTTAACTTGGTTTGTTAACAAATATTTTAATCATTTAAGGGTATATAGTCTATCAATATTACAGGGATATTTTTGTAAATTATTTATGTTTTTATAATAATATAGATATAGATAGATAGATATAGAATAGATAGATAGATAAGTACTTTTGCCTTCCCGCGAAATAGTCTATTATTAGTTGCACTAAACTTCTTTTAGCATTATCTATATACTTATTTTATGGCTGTTCAAGTTGTAAAGTTATATACATAACTGTTCTACATATTCCAAGTCAAAGACATTGGTGTCAAAGAAGGAACACAAAGTCAATACACATAAAGTCGGCCTTAAATTTATAGTACTAAATATAAGCAAAAAAAAAAAAAAAAAAATTCCATTTAGTTATCCAACTTGGCTCTGTCTCTTACCATTTTCGGACACCAGAAACAATAATCCACAATCTAAAACCCCCAATTGCACACAGTTGCTTAGCTCTAATCTGGTTCTGATTATATCCAAATTAAGGAAAAATTCGGAGTTGAAGTTGTCGGAATTGACAATTTTGTTGAAGTTGAGGGTGGTGAATTCTTGAGGAATTTCCTCAAAGCGCGTTGATTTTTGGGTTGGTAGAATCAATTAGGTCGCTGTATTTGAGTCGTATCTTCTAGGGTTTTGTTCATTTCACTGTGTGCTCAAGAGCCTCTCTATTTGGTCTTTTCTGATTGGTGAGATTACTTCCCTTTGATTTTATATGGATTTTTTTTTTCATTTCAATGCTTGTTGCTGTGTAATTCCAATTTCTTTAGTAATTGAAATGGGTTCTTGCAATTACCTGTAATTTCATCAACAATTGCAAGTCATTTTTACTATGTTGCTTAATTATTTCCTACTCCCTCTGTCCAATTTGATGTGACACACTTTTCTTTTTAGTTTAATGACGAAATAATTTATTTCGTAACTTCCTTTTTTATCCTTAATGAGATGATTTATAGCAAAGACAAATATTTATGACATGTTTTATATCACAAATTTAAAAGTCTTTCTTAAATTTCATGTCCAGTCAAACACTGTCGTATAAATTGGGACACAAGGAATATATTCTTTGTATAATACAACAATGAAATATATTTGTGCTACATTGGTACTAATTTGTGATGCAAGTTCAAACCCCATGATGGAAACTTAAAAGGTAGAGGCTATAGAGAAAGATTTTAGTAGTAGTTGATATTGATGAGATCCGAGTGAAAGCCATGGTTTGGGGAATTTTAATAGAATGGAGTGTAGAATGAAACTTCTCACATAGTAATAGAGTTTCGTCTTATTATAAACCCATCTTAGATTCCCACTTGCTTTTCTGGCTTTCTGTGTTTCAAGTCTCAAATAGAATTGTGTTCAGATGGTATCTAGCTGCAGTGAAATAACAACTTTGAAATCTAAATAGTGAGTGTTATGTTGTCGGAAAAATCGCTGAGCGGTTAAGGCATTGGAGTGACAATTTGAGATTTCAGGTTAAAATCCCCGTTATGACACTCAGTATGAGCGCAACTGCTCCAGTCTTCTCGGCAGGATTATTTGGTACTTGTGCTTGTGTTTAGTAGCGGTTTGCCAGGTGGATAGCAAGTTGTTCCGAACACCATTGTCACTAAAAAATGGTGAGAGTTATGTCCTATAGACGTCCTGGAATTAGGTTAGAGTAGGAAGTCATTAAACTAGATATTAGGTTAGAGTAGGAAGTCATTAAACTAGATAGTAAAACTTGTAGTGAACGAACAAATGATGCCAAATGTTGACTGAATACATATTCAGAATCAGTCAGCTGCAGGAGGGGTTTTTTTTATTGGGGGGGGGGGTGGGGGGTGAGGTTGCTAGTAATTAGATGTCTTACGTAACCTTAAGNCTTGTGTCTTTGAAATATACCTTTTTTTTTTGGCTCAAACGAACAAATTTTAAATCCTTTTAGAATGTCAGATATCCTTATCTGAATGAGTGTTTTAAAGATAAGAATCAGCTGTATTCCTGGAAATTCTCAGCTAGTGATTTAGCTAAAAGTGCTTCTATACAATATTGCGACTTAATTTTCTCTTAATTTTTGGCATAGATTGCAGATCAGTTTTCTTATCTCCTGAATTGAAGAGATAATTTATCCATTTTATCCTCTGTGATTCAACTGAAGTGTATAATCTTGGTGTATATTATTGATTTGGTTTACTGAGGACTTTGATTCTAATTGACCAGGTGGAATGGAGATATCATTGTTAAAAGTGCTTCTCAACAATATCTCCTGTTTTTCCCATTTATCATCATCATCATTAAACACGAACTTTGCATCCTTTTCCAATAATTTGCACAAAGAATTCACTACCTTAGAAAAGTCTTTGATGAATCTTCGGTAGAACCCTGCATGCCCAAGAAAACTCCTAACCCCCTTGACTGAAGTAGGAGGAGGAAGCTTTGAAATCACTTCAATCTTAGCCTTGTCCACCTCTATTCTGTTCTTTGAGATCTTATGGTCAGAGGACAATGCCCTCCTCAACCATAAAGTGGCATTTTTCCCAGTTAAGCAAAGATTTGTCTCTTCAC